ACATTGCAATATTTTCTTATTTCATTTATGCCTTGTCATGGTCACTTACTTTTTGCAATATTATTTATACTATCAAATTAAATCAAATCAATAGCCCAAATTCACAAAACACATTTTGCCTTAGAGGGCTTTACAATCTGTACAGGGAGTGACACCCTCTGTCCTTAGACCCTCGGTTCGAGTGAGGAAAAACTTGCCCACAAAAAAAATCCTTTTAACAGGGAAAAGAAGGTGGAAGAAACCTCAGGGAGAGCCACAGAGGAGGGATCCCTCTCCCAGGATGGAAAGACATGCAATGGATGTCACGTGTACAGAACAAAGCTACAGAAACATATTGTACAATTACAATGAAAGACAATGATTACAGTAGCAGTGGTTAGCAGTGGTGGTAATATGTAACAATGCTACAATAATAAACAAGTTAATATTAATGTCATGGAATTATGACTAATAGTAATAACAAGAGTGGATGTCAGGCAGGGCCATGGCAGTAGTGGGAACCACGATCCAATACAGGGAGCAGCCATGATCCATGAGAACCTGCTGGACGAGAGAGCACAGAAACTCCAGGGAAGAAGTTTAGTTAGTAACATGCATTAATGAGACATGTATGTTTAGAGATGGGGATGATAATAGAGAGAGGGGGGGGTCCACTGGCAGTCTTGTCCTATAGCAGCATCAGTGGAGCTGGAGGCCAGGGTGATCCCGTCTAAAGTAACTATGTTTCTAGAAAGAGAGTTTCCGAGGTTTTTAGGTCCAATTACAAGAACTTCAGTCTTGTCTGAATTTAGCATCAGAAAATTGTAGGTCATCCAACTTTTTATATCCTTAAGACATTCTTGAAGTTTAGTTAACTGATTGGTTTCATCAGGCTTGATCGATAAGTATAATTGGGTGTCATCGGCATAAGAACGAAAATTAATGGAGTGATTCCTAATAATGTTCCCTAAAGGAATCATATATAAAGTGAATAGAAGTGGTCCTAACACAGAACCTTAAGGGATTCCGTGACAAACTTTGCCATGTACGGAGGATTCATCATTGACATGAACAAACTGAGATTGATCTAAAAAATAGGACTTAAACCAGCTTTAGGCGGTTCCTTTGATGCCAATATGATGTTCCAGTCTCTGTAAAAGAATTTGATGGTCAATGGTGTCGAATGCAGGACTGAGATCTAAGAAGGCAAGTACAGAGATGTGTCCTTTGTCTAAAGCCATTAGGAGGTCATTTATGGTCACTTACTTTTGCAATATTATTTATATCATGGTCACTTACTTTGGCAATATTATTTATATCATGGTCACTTACTTTTGCAATATTACTTATATCATGGTCATATTACATTACAATACTTTTTATATCAAGCCACTCTTTTATTCTCAGTACCCTTTTGCACATTGTCTGTTTGCAGGTTGATTGTTTTCTTTTTTATTGTGTATGTTACAGAAATTTCTGTCTGTTTTTTTTTCTGGTTATTGCCTTTTCCATTTTAATTTCTGTAGTGTATACTACACTTTCTTTCTGCTGCAGTATATCTTATCTAATCTCGACGTTTTTAATTTCCACTCAGCACGTCGACATTCCCTTCTAGTACTTTGTACAAGTGTAAGTGCTGAGAGGAATTAGAAGAAGAGATCATATTACTCCCTCCTGTCTTAGCTTCTCTGCATTGGCTCGCTGTAAAATTCAGAGGCAGACACCATATTTACATATAAGGTTAGACTTAAGACATCCCTTTTTCGATAAAGCCTATAGGTTTGGATCAGGTGAGTCCTAAACCATCCCTTGGTTATGCTGCTAGAGGACTAGACTGCTAAACTCCCATCATGCACTGCCCCCCCTCTTCCATTCTACCCTCTTTTACACCCATCTCTCCTCTCATCCCCATTTTTCTCTGCACACCCGGTCAAGACAGATGGCCGCCCACATTGAGTCCGGTTCTGCTAGAGCAGAGTGGTCTGCGAGTAAATTTGATAAAACACTATATTTTAAGTTAAAAGTGTTTCTCTTGTGTGATGATGGATTGCGAATCAGAAATTGCGATCATAATGGTGGATCCTGTATCGTGCTAACTGATTGTGAGAGGAATGGTAGATCCTGTATCATGCTGGCATCTGATCGTAGTGGTGGACCATGATCGAGGTGTATCCTGATCGTTGTAGCTGCTGATCGTGGACTATGATTACAACAAGACAGCTTGATATACAATATGTCTACTCAGATACTCGACCATTACTGAACATAATTACTCAATTCATTTACCTTCCATCTTGCTACAAACTGTTTACTCTAACCAAAGCTGCAAATATTTATTTTTTATTTTTATTATTTTTCTGATGTTCTCCATTACACGTGGCATCTATTGCACTTCTGTCCGTCCTGGGAGAGGGATCCCTCACATGTGGCTCTCTCTAAGGTTTCTATGTTCTTTTTCCCTTTGTTGAGGGTTAAGGACAGAGGATGTCCCTATGAGACAAATTGTGATTTCTGAATATATAATACAAATACAATTTGATTGTGTGTCTTTGTCTCTGTGTGACTCCAAAGCTTAGTGAGTAGCAAAAATGTGGTTTTTTTTTCCAATATTAAATCAATATATAAACTTAAACTGTAATATTTGAATAGGCTCTTTTGTTGTGTTGTCGGACACTGTCTATGGTAGTCGTGATCTGGTTAGGGTTAGGGTTAGGTCATTTGCTGAGTATTATTCTCTTTGCAACTAACATACCAAACATAAGGGTCTGCTGTACAGTATGTGGCAGTGCAAGAGAAACTACAGAGCAGCCAAACAGGGCAACCAGTGCTTCAGGTTCAATCCATAAATCATACATTTCAGAACACCATTTAAAAATATCCTGCCAGAAAGGGTACAATCTTAGGACAAAGCCAAAAGGTGTGGCCTAGAGGGCCTTTTGAAGATTTACATCTGTCACATAACAGATATATTGTATACAATTTTTCATTAGAATAATGTGCATGACAGCACTAGACCCAATACCTCAGCTCTATGGAATAAAAATTGGCTAAATAGGCACTCATTATCATGGGCCAGAAATTTGTTTTTCTAGAGCCCAACGTTTGAATGGGAAGTGGATTGCTCCTCTTGCCTACGCCTTTTGCAGACCCTGTTTTGTAAGAAGGCAATAAATAAATGAGGCCCCTAATCTTTTGTAGTGGATAGAGTATAAACAGAAGAGTTATATGAACAAATTAGTTTTGGTTACTGTGTCTGTTTTTATTTGTCATGTTTTTAAATAGGTAGCCAGTGAAACTGCTCAGCCTGATCATTACTGTAACACAATAACCCTCATGATGACCCAATTCTAGTGATGTTAGTTGTGTCATCAGCATTAATTCATTTTTGAATTCAAGAATACACCATTACAAACTGGAGGAGTTTTGATTAAAAGATGTGGACATAAAAAAAGACACTATCATGTTGCATTCGCTTATTTTTTAAGATTATCCCATACAGGGGACTAAAAATCTGGATATTTTGACCTTGCTAAACATTTAACATTTACCATTTTGACTATTCCATTACCAGTGAATTAGGCACAAGATCCTTCAACAAAATTGAATGATTTGTATAATGTTTTTATATGTTTGGCTTTCTTCCTGTTCCAGCGGGCGTTCCCTTCCTGGTCACAGCAGAGCTGTTTAAACAGTCCCACCGCCCAGCTGCCTACATTGTTGGAGGATCACTCAACTGGCTGTCCAACTTTACTGTGGGCTTCATGTTCCCCTTCTTACAGGTGAAATGCAGTTGATCATGCTTATACAAGGCACTATTACTACCACTATTAAGACCCGGAGCGATTCATTATTTGCCTATCTTAGTCTTGTTATTACACATACAGACACAGTTATGTCTTTAAGAATAAACATATTCATTTATTAATGATATAAACATTTTCATAAAATATTATTTTAGTCTCAGACTGTCTCACTAATGTTTCTATCCTATTCTCTCTATCCTCCCAATGATTTATCTGTCTGCTACATCCGATCAGATGTCTGCTGGATCTTACTGCTACTTGGTTTTTGCCACCGTTTGTGTGTCTGTGGCTGTCTATGTCTACATCATGATCCCAGAGACCAAAAACAAGACCTTCATGGAGATCAGTCGAATGTTTTCTAAGAGGGAGGCAGTCTTAGAGACCCAAGGCCTTATCCATGGGGACCAGCTGAAGCTGAAGAAAATGAATGGATATGGCATTGTAAAACATGCATCGCTGGAGTTAGACAGCTCCTCTTCTGTACCTTAGCTGAGCTCAATGTTCTCACTGGGAAAACAAAACCAGTTATTTGATCTTATCTTCCTTTTTGTTTTCAAATGTTTCATAGGCTTCTCTTCCTCTCAGTAGTAGTCACACTCTATTTTACGCTGTTGCCCCCTAAAAACCTCCCTTCAGACATTTCTACCGATCAGTGCACTGCCTTCCTGGACTTCTTCAACTCCAAAATCAACACCATTCACCAACAACTGGCCTCATCTTCCACCCCCTCAAACGACCCAACTTGTACGATAACCATTGACCAACCTCTCATCAGCTCCCTCTCCAGCTTCACCCCAGTATCAGAGCACACCATCTCGGAACTCATCCTAAAAGCCAAAACGACCACCTGTCAGCTCTATCCTATTCCCACCTCCCTTGTCAAAACCTGTCTGCCGTCCATTTCCCCCATGATCACCAACATTATTAACTCCTCCCTCATCACTGGTACTGTACCCCCCACTCTCAAACTGGCTGCCATCACACCCATCCTGAAAAAACCCGGTGCTGACCCAGCTGTCCTTACAAATTACCGGCCCATCTCCAATCTCCCCTTCATCTCCAAAACACTTGAAAGGGTGGTTGCCGCACAATTACAGTCCCACCTCGACCCAAACAACTTCCATGAACCCTTCCAATCTGGCTTCCGTCCAAAACATAGCACCGAAACAGCCCTGGTCAAAATCACCAACGACCTCCTCTGTGCAGCTGACTCTGGACTACTCACTATTTTCATCCTCCTCGACCTCAGCGCAGCGTTCGATACCATCTTCCACCCTCTGCTCCTGGACCGCCTGGCTGGCATTGGGATCACTGGTGCTACACTCTCCTGTTTCACATCTTACCTCACTGACCACCAACAATTCGTGCAACTAAGGAACCACAAGTCTGGGTGTTCAGGTGTTTCACTGGGTGTCCCCCAGGGTCAGTCTTGGATCCACTTCTTTTCACCATCTACCTCCTCCTCCTGGGCTCACTCCTCCGTCACCACGGGGTCCATTTTCACTGCTACGCCGATGACACACAGGTCTACATCTCTTCCAAACCCACTGCTGCCATCCCTCCCACTTCCCTCATCACTTGCCTTGGTGACATCCGGAGCTGGATGACCAGAAACTTTCTGAAACTGAACAGCAATAAAACCGAGGCCCTGCTCATCGGCTCCAAATCCACTCTCACCAAATCACAACGCACCCCAGCTCCACCCATCATCGTCGACGGATTCCCTGTACCCTTCATCCCCCAAGTCAAGAGCCTCGGCATCATTCTGGACAGCACCCTTTCACTTGCACCCCATATTCAAAACATCACTCGGACTGCATTTCCAGACTCCGCCCATCACTGACCCAATCCAGCACCGAAATCCTGGTTCACGCATTTGTCACATCACGCATCAATTACTGCAATGCCCTCCTCACTGGACTCCCCACCAAACTCATCAACAGACTGCAAATCATTCAGAACTCGGCCGCCCGGATCATCACCGGCACCAAATCATCAGATCACTCCTGTTCTCATCCAACTCCACTGGCTCCCTGTACAATACCGTATCCACTACAAAAACCTTCTCCTCACCTACAAAGCTCTCCACTACCTAGCCCCCACTTATCTCTGCGACCTCCTTCATGAATACACTCCCTCCCGGACCCTCCACCCACCATGGGTGCCAGAGCCTTCAGCTGCTCAGCACCCAGGCTCTGGAACTCCCTCCCCCCACACATAACACAGTCAGACTCCATCACATCATTCAAGTCCCAACTCAAGACCCACCTGTTTAAACTGGCATACTCCCTATAACCTGACACTGCAATTCACTTGTTTTTATGTTTTTATGTTGATGTTTTCTCTTTTTTTTTAACATTGTTTGTGAATATTTAATCTTTTACTTTGCTTTGTAAGGTGACCTTGGGTGACGTGAAAGGCGCCTCCAAATAAAATGTATTATTATTATTATTATTACTCACCAAGGTAATAGCTAAAGTTCAACAGTACAAGACAAAGGAGCAATCAGAGCATCAGACAGATTGGAAACAAAACAACATGTTAGCTAAAGAAAACCCATCACAGTTTACATGCCCACTTCCTGTACTTCCCGTAGATGTGCACATTTTTTCTTCCAAATTAAGAGCTTGGTTTACTTTTCATCTCGATAAATTGCTGTTTTTTTTTTTTTGCAACAGCATTGTATCAATGTCACCATGTTTCCAGATCTTTGTTGTTACTTTGATGAGTACCATGTTTAGTTGATAGGAATGACAGCCCAAGTTGTAATAAACTAGATCTTTTTTTAATAAACAATTGAAATTAGTTTTCCATGTAGGGATAGGCATTTTAAAATTAAACCAAACAATGTCCGATACAATTGGATGTTATTTTTGTTGTTCTTCAAAAAATATTTATCATTAACATTGCACTCATTCAAAGTATCATTAAGGATAGGCCAGATCATAAAAGAATCTGTCTCACCGCTAAGACGTTTGTTGGCATGCATCACACTACATGAATACAAGAAAGAAACAACAATCTTAAGAAGTAGGACACAGATTTTCTTTAATTGGACAAATGATGAGGTGCATCTGCAAGTGTTTACCTTTTGCCTTCACCATTGGTAGGTTAGTGGTAAATGACTATAAACCAATGTGACTGATGGTGTCATTGTTTCCAAACCTCTCCGTTTTTGCCTTTCCATACAACAACAAATCCTGGAGTTTCCAAACCTCTCCATTTTAGTTGCTTGAAAACTCCAGAGTAGTGTGGACTATCAGGTGAAAACATGGCAACTTAAAATGTAGTAGTGTGGATGCAGCCTAAGAGTGGGTATGCCATCAGTTAACAATAGAAAAATTACCCATTGACAATGAACATGGATGAGACATACACAGCTCTATAAATAATCTTCAACTGACATTATTTTTGCTTTCATAACTGCTTCCACGTGTCTGTAAACTGTGATTGATGTCGATAGTAGTTACATTAAGACAGTCAGAGATGCATAAATAAAATCCACTTTTAATAAATTGCACGATTTCCAGGTATTTGAACTGCAGTTTTTCATCAACATATATTTACAAAGAGGTGTAAGCATTACTGGGGTTGTGGCATATGAATATGAGGCATAAACTAACCTTTTAATTTTTCAAAACAAATCTTTAACCATCTGTGTATTGCAGTAAAAGTAATGATTGTCATGTTACACACTGTATCAGAGTACTGTGCACTATTCAAAAACTAAAATCCAGTTGTTTGAATACATTTGTGCAGCAACCTTTTTACATTTTTGAAATATAACATAACTGAATTAATATTGTATAACTGTGAAACACATCAAATTTCATTCATTTCATTATGCGTATGTTGTGTCATTTTTGCAGACTTTCCCTTTAATTTTCTCAGTCATTGTGCATTAAAGGGACATGAAATTTGATATGAGCATAGTAAGAGGCATCATGACGAAAAATGTATATCAAATTAGAGACTCTAACTATATAATATAGTTGTGTTTTCATTATTTTTGCCACTCCAACAATCTGTACCACTTTACAGTATAAGATTACTTTATTCTCCGATCTGACCCTAGGGGGGCCGTAGCATGTTGCCTTTGCTTGAACACTCCACAGATTTTTGTGTTGCCTTGTGTTCATCATCATCAAGTTGCCAGCAGTGCTTTCTTTCTCACCAAATGATAAAAATAATTGAACAGAGGTCAGCTCTGAAGTACTTTATTAATCCCCTTTATTAATTCAAATGTCACAGAGCTCCCGAGAAAGAGGTGAGGTATAAACATAGTAATATAAAAATCAAATAAGAGATGCTTTATTTTATACAAATGTACTTTTCCTAGAGTGCTGTCCTGATGTCTGCTTAAGCCTCAGTTTGGAGGCTGATAATATGGATTAAAAGCAGTTTACCTGAAGCGTTATGTAATACATTAAATCACACCTCTGAAATTCTCTTGCACGTGCCTTCAAAATTAACCCTGATTCACTCCTGACCCTTGGTGGTCAAAAAGGGAACTGTCCAACTGTCAATTGCAATAACCCCCTCATAAATCATTTGCAAAACTAAATGTAAGTGTTGTAAATCCTAAATTATGTGCATCACTGGCACACATGCATGTGCATCTGCTTGAATATGTACAGATACGTAAATAGTCTTATTAGAGGTCTAAAACTCCACAGGAAAGTTTTAATGAAGCCATCCTTTCACACGAACAAACACACACACAGCCTGAGCTGCAAAAAATTCAGAGAAAGTATCAGTTACCCAGCATCACTCATCAAAGAACATGAAATTATATGCAATATTTTGTTGATAATGTGCTACAATTCTCGTCACATCAAGAAGAATAGATTTCCTTGAGGCAGAGTCATAATCAGGGCTTCCATCATAACTGGACAGGGATATGAAGATTAATATTTAGGTTGAATCCAGCAGGTCATAAACTCCAGCTTCCTCATGTCTCTAGGTTACAGCTGGTATTAAAATCTATCCTGATTGATCCAATTACAAGTAAGCAGCACTAAGTACATGTGTACACACACCCAAATGCATCAAAATAAACATTTATTCTCATATTCCCTTAGCATGTTGGTTACAGATTTAAGAATTTTGTTTTTTCTTGATATGATATGATGAAGTCAGGCTATAATGCACTGCATATACAAACATACACCTGTCTCTTTCTGTGTGTCTCTCTCAAAAAGTCACATCCGGACCATGCTTCAGACCTGTACTTAGCGCTGACCTCTGTCCTAACCTCTGTCTCTCAGAGCTGTTGATATATTGTGTGTGTTGATGTGTAAATGCTCTGGCAGATAGCTGATAAATGTAGCACTTCTCTGCTACCGACTGGAAGTGTTTTGTGACAGAGCTATTACGACCCTCTCTTTATTCTTGGCACCATGCTGCTACACAGACAGCTCTGTTGCATTGTGCACATTTCCCCCTCACATAAATACACCTCCATACGGACCAGAAATCCCCTGAAAAGTGTCAGAACATATGTGTATTATGTTTACAGGTTTACAATTAGTGTAACATTTTATCTTAAACAATACTGTACAGTTTTATCTCTTCCAACCTATAAAAAACAATCAATCAGAGCAAGCAGATAGCAGATGATTCTGCAGAATTTATAGACATACAAGTATAAGGGTCTACACATTTGAGTAGGCATAGCTCGTAAGTAAAGGGTCACAGGCCAAACTTAAATGATTTAAAAGGAATGTTAACCAATGGTAAAAGGAGATGAAAACTAAGAAGGGGCTGAGCAGAAATGGAGAGTCTGACATCTGTGGATCTGAAATGGCAGAGGAAATCCAGAACATCAGTGACATCTAAGATGACAACTCTGCAGCTCATGAGCTTAATCTATGACAGTCAGCTTCAGGAGCGATAACCCAGTTGGTGAATTGATTTTACAGTACCTTAATTTTACGGCACTGTATTCATTCACATTGAAACTGACATTACAATAGCTGTGGTTTAACCTGGTTTTAATTTTGTGGTACTTTATTCATTTATTGATATTTAATAGGCAAGTTATAATATAAATATGTGTACTTAAACAGCTTTTAAATGCACATTAGTTGTATTTTAAGTGACAGAAAAGGATGCCATGGGTGTGTTTGTGTGTTCATTCAAACAAGAGAAAGAGATTTTTGATGTTTAGTGTGTGTG